TATTATTCTATTAATATTAATATATCTTGACAGCTCCTATGCGCCAGCTGCTATATAACCTGCTCAGCATACATTACCTGATTCACTTCTTCCAATAGCCCCCTGTGGCTAATGCAGTTATTATCCATACTTCACAGGTGAGAGCCTAAGACCCAGGGAACCTAACACTTTTGCTCAAGGTAGCACAGATGTGAAGGGAGAGTGCTGAAGTTTGAACTGAGTTCTAATTGATTCCAAATCCTACACCTGTACCACCACACCCTAATGTCTTATATGAATCCTGAGGATCTACTGGAGAACAGTTGGTCAGTGATTCTGAGCATTAGATAGCATAATCACTCTTGGATTTTAAGCAACATGAGGGGAACGACCTGAGCTATCTTGTTCACTACTTCAACTACAGTGCTTAGCATAAGGTCTGACTCCAAGAGGTGCTCAGTAAATATTTGTTGAATAAATGAACACCAGACATTGGGAACCTCCTAGAGAAATACATTAAGAAAAATAAGGCAGCTTCTTCTATCTTTGTAAGAAGTTGCAAATACCATTTTGGTGCTCCAATAATGAAGGATTCCACCCCACCCAAATCTATGAAGGCCTAGGGTGGGAAAAGGTATGGTTCACAAGGATGTATGCTGACTAGCTTTAGGAGTTTTCACTTAGGCTGTTTCAATCTGCTTCTGGCCCATCTACAAGCTTTAACCCAAAAGATTTTTTCCTAAACTAAATAACAGCTTTAAGAAGGACAAGGGCATTTACTGGGTAACGACAAAGGAGAAACTGGTCAACTGTTTGTCCATGCCTGCCCTTTGGTAGAAGGCTCTCATGGCCCTTTTCTTGCTTCTCTTTAGATAGGATGTGGTTTGTGGGGCTGTTTTTTTTTTTTTTTTTTTGTACTGGGATTGAACTTCAGACCTTGTGCTTGTGAGGTAGGCAGCGGCACCACTGAGTTAAATCCCCGGCCCTGTGGGGCTCTTTATAAATGGCTTGTCTTTTCTTTTTTCTTTGGTTGTAGTAGGGATTAAACCTAGGGCCTTCACACTGAGTATATCCCTAGCCCTTTTATTTTTAAGTTTTGAGACAGGGTCTTGCTGAGTTGCTAAATTGCCCAGGTTGGACTTAAACTTATGACCTTCCTGTTTCAGCTTCAGAGTTCTGGGATTATAGGTGTGTGCCACCATGTTTGGTTTTATTGGCTTTTCTAGGATAGTATTTTGGTTGGACAGAAAAGCTGGAAAGATAGTTGTGGGATTCAAGATGTCATGATAACAGGATGGGATGTTCACACAGCAGTATAGTCTGGGACAAGGATTTGAGCTCTTTTTTAATAGTGTTTCCTCTTAGTTTCTGTTCCTCAGAGCAGAATAAACTCTGTCATCATCCCCTCCCCCAGGTTGTTAACCCCTAATCCAGAGGCTCATGTCTCATTGCTTTATTTCTTCCTAACACGCAGGTAATGGAGAGGTCCACCTGTCATTGGTTCAACCTCATTATCTCACTAGGCAGAGCTGACTTGAATACAATTATTTTTAATTAATGATAC